ACCGTCCGTCTTGCGTCACACAACATCAAATGTCATAATTCAAGGATCAACAGTCAGGCTATAATATGGCAGGAATAAACAACGATTGTACAAACAGTTACCAAGAATCAACGCTGACATCCTTACTGAAACGTAGTATTAAAGCCAAGGAACATTCTCATTCGCCATACAGTAAGTTTCGTGTCGGCGCAGCTTTGCTGACTGACACTGGAGAGATCATCGATGGTTGTAACGTGGAAAATGCAAGTTACGGATTGACGATTTGTGCTGAGAGAACTGCCCTAGTAAAGGCCGTGAGTATGGGCTTTAAAAAATTCCCTGCCATTGCCATCACAACTGATATGGAGGAATTTATCGCTCCTTGCGGAGCCTGCAGACAAGTTATAGCGGAGTTTGGATTGGAGTGTGACGTGTACCTTGTTAAGTCAGACTTGTCTTACAAGAAATTGAGTGTTTCAGAGCTGTTACCAATGGCGTTCACATCTGAAGATTTGGAGAGAGCAAATATGAAGAAATAGCATCTAATCATGAATGTTTTTCTTACAAACTGAACTTCAGCTATAAAGCTGACGTTGCGCAACGTTGATCAACGCACGTGGTGGGGCTGTGCATTGTCATGCCCAAGCTCTTGCCGAAAACGGCAAATATGATCGATGGTTTTATAAAATTTCCCTTCAGTGCAAGACTGCACATGGAAACTACTCACAAAATGTTGGGGAAAATACACGCAGATACAACGAGGCGTCTGTCACATCGCTTGAAATCATCACGCAACGCCATTCCTTGCCCGGCGAACTAAAGAGGGACTGGGTTCGACAGAGACTGGAAAATAAAATAATTGTGGTGTATTGTGAAGACAGTCAAACCTGTATTATCGTTCACCCACTGTTTAGTGGGAAGTAAACTAACGGAAGTTCACAAGATAGTGAAGATTTCCTGGGCCAGAGAGGGCCTAATTTATAGTCTTCTCTGTGTTGTTTTAAGACATTAATGTAGTCTGCTTCTCTGCAGTTTTAGGTTTTAGTTTCACTAATTATACACTATATATATCTATATATCAGCTCCCTTTTATTAAAAAAGAGGTCCAAACTACACCAAAATATTTTGCCTCCCTCTTCAAGCAAGTAAGGAGCAATCTTTGCTTCTTTAGCTCCCTTTTTTAGTATCTCAGGACCCTCAACAGAAAACCAGTTGACCAGCAACAGGTGACTGTCCTATTTAAAGAACTTTTTATTAAATATGGGAGGGTCAGGCAGCAAAAAAAGAATTTCATTATGGTAATGGAAGACTTATCAGGGTCAACATAATGCCCACAAAGTCGTATTAATACAAATACAGGGGCAGATCGAGGATTTTTCTTAGGAGGAAGTGCACCACTAAGGAATGGCGTAACTGACTGGTGAGGTAAACAAACTTTAAAAGCAAATGCGAAGAAGAAGGCTTCATCTCAGGAGGGGGGTGTGCACCCCCTGCATCGTCCCCCTAGATCTGCCCCTGAAATATTCTCTGATAAAAAAAAAGATGACACTGCCAAAATTACCGTCTATGGTCTCCCTAGAGTAAATTAGCTATTGTGAATTTCTTGATTAGAGAACCTGTGACCATTTTTGATGAAAAAACAAGGACAGTAAGACTGTGCTCTGGATTCTGGTAACATTTGGGTTTCTTTTTCAGACAGTTTTTAACAAGTATTCCCCTCACTTTTTACTGGCTCTTTCCTCCCCCCAACCCCCTCCCTGAGGTTTTTAAGTGAGATAATTTTGAGTGAACTTAGGTCATTTACCCTATAGTGTTTAGGTCAAACAAGCTAACTAAAATAACCTATAGCCGTGCAAATCTTGTTTTAACACCCCAAGATGATGAGAAGTGACATCAAAGAGACATCCATATGCCACATTGACTCTTACCCCCTAAGAATTATTCCCGGTAATGGCCTATGTGGAGAGGCCAGTTATAGCAGTATGTCTAAAGTGTACTTCTTCAATAAAAGGTATTCAAAACAGCTACCTTTTCTTTCAAAATGGTATACAAAAGGGTAAGGGGTTGAACCTTGGAGTGGACTGCAGTATCCCCCCTTCCACGGCTACATCTCCATAGTGCCATTTCATCATTTTGCTGTTTCATGATGATTCTTGACACACCCCTTTATTGTTTGCTATCATGAGGAAACACCGTATCATAACCTCTGTGTTTTGTGTATTTGTTTCCTTACTTCCATGTTTTGTGCCTTTAAAACATAAAATCAGCAAATTAAAAACATCTATAACAAACTGGAGGATGTTAGTCTCCAGTTATTTTTTTTATTAGGTCATTTCGAGACGTTTTTACTAGGGTGAAGGATCTTTTTATTGTTAAATAAAATTATTTGTATATAAACCGATTACAAGCCCGCTACTCTCCCCGCCCCACCCCCCTCCCCCCGCGCACTTTTGAGCCCACCCAAAACCCCTTATAAAGTTGTAAAAGCCGCGTCGGACTTGGAATTTTTACGGTGGCCTGAAACAAGTTGTGATCACCGCAACTAGGCAAAGAAAGGGGACAACATGGCCACCAAGCATGCGTGCCAAAATGTACTAGGAGGACATGGAGAACCAAGGGAAGGGACGATACTTTGGTCGTCGCTGGCTGAAAACGCGTGGGCCCTGGGGATGAGATTGATACTCGGAACAGACAGGAACAGACTGAGAAGCATTCATAGATCGTTGGTTTTATACATACGTGCCTGGAATGGAGACGAGTTTCACTAACAGTTACCAAGAATCAACGCTGACATCCTTACTGAAACGAAGCATTAAAGCCAAGCAACATTCTCATTCGCCATACAGTAAGTTTCGTGTCGGCGCAGCTTTGCTGACTGACACTGGAGAGATCATCGATGGTTGTAACGTGGAAAATGCAAGTTATGGATTGACGATTTGTGCTGAGAGAACTGCCTTAGTAAAGGCTGTGAGTATGGGCTTTAAAAAATTCCCTGCTATTGCCATATCAAGTGATACAGAAAAATTTATCGCTCCTTGTGGCGACTGCAGACAAGTTATAGCGGAGTTTGGATTGGATTGTGATGTGTACCTTGTTAAGTCAGACTTGTCTTACAAGAAATTGAGTGTTTCAGAGCTGTTACCAATGACATTCACATCTGAGGATTTGGAGAGAGCAAAGTTGAAGAAATAAAGTCAGGGTGATCTTTTCTCTAGTATCGATCTCAGCTGAGAAGTAAGAACTGACCAGAACTGAACATTGCGCAAGTAACCGATCAACATGTCTTCATGGTAGCTAAGGGTCGTTGGGTTGGCAGAGAATACAGTGTTTTCTTAAATTCTGATGTGGAACATAAGCATGTGTTATAGTCAAACTAAGTGAAGCGTACCCCTCAAGATTACATTAATGAATTGATTATTTGAATAGTGAACCCGCCAGTCATTTCAAGAATGCAATACTAAGTTGATTATTGGAAAATTGAACCCACTAGTCGTTCCAAGAATACGGCTAATGGGTTTAATGTTCAAAAAAATCAATTTAATATTGATTTTTGAAATGAATAGTGAGTTCAATATTCAAATAATCAATTCATTATTGTATTCTTGAAACGATTAGTGGGTTCAATATTCAAACAATCAATTCATTAATGTAATCTTGAGGGGTACGCTTCACTTGGTTTGACTGTAAGCGATTTTAATTCATGTAATATTGTTTCTGATTGGTGACTTGTCAAGGTCCACCAAGGCAAACCAGGACTTTGGGAGGGGGAAGGCAGGGGCATATTCAGGATTTTTAAAGGGGGGCCACACTGTGTCAAAGTGAGGGTACTCACCAGATTATCATGTCATTTTCGACACCTGTTGTAGGTTGTTTGCTTAGAAAAGGCTTACAAAAGGGGTGGGGGTCACGGGAACTCCAGAACTTCCGTAGCTACACCCCTGGATGGATTATATGGCCTGTGTGGGGACTTGATACTGGACTTGGAATGTAAATGTATGTAAGTCTTTCCTTAACAGGGTTGGTTATGTGATTGTTATCATTAAATATGGTTTATATGGAGCAGTACTCATCGATTCAAGTTCTAAGATGTTTGCTGATATTTAGCAGGGCATCAGGTCTTTGTCCCAAAAAGGGTTCTGGAATAAAGGGTGTTGTCCTATATAGGGTGTGGTTAAGGGGCTTTTTGTTCCAAACAGGGGCATGCCTAGGTTTCAAATCCCTGGTGGTAACTGTATACAGTGACTTGAGTTAGGTAATCACCCTCCTGGTGAAAGGATGTGGAAGAAAGGGGGGTTGATGACAAGATTGGCAAAGAGCCATGTTCTTTATAGTAGTGTACCCTTTCCCAGACACACCTTGAAAAATTTTAGCAGAAGTTTTAGATTCATTTACACTGATACAGTGATTGTTCACTGCTTACTTTAGTTAGAGATCATTGTGTCGTGACAAAATGGGATGGCCAGTTAAGATAAAGATATCTTCACCTGCCTCTATCCCTCTTTAGCTAACAGCTGTCTTACCCATGAACATAATATAGTACACTTACTGAGTAATTCATAAAATAAAATACATCAGGTAGGACTGTTTCTAGAAATAGGAAAAGGATTTCAAGGAAGTCTTCATTTCTTATCAATCAGTATAACCTTTTTTAAGGTCCACTAGATTACATGACTTGATGAATAAGTAATTGAAAGAATGAATAAATTACAATAGCTAGAGAGGGAACCCACATTTCAATATATTTCCTAGACTGTCAGGCGATAAGGCCTAAGCACGAGAAAAAGGTGGTACCGAAGACACATGATTTATTCAAGGCTAGTTCCTCCTGAAAATATCTCTGGTTGATTGATCACAGCTCCTCCAGACCTTCAGGAAGATTCGACGTACAGGGGGAGGGGTGGGGGTCTACGTGGAGAATTTGCAGTGAAGTCCGCCATAACAAAACATGGAATCCTACTTATGGCCAGAATTTTACTTCTGATTTAAATTTCTGTTGTTAAAGTTCGTTATTGCGACTTGTCGCATGCACGTAATTTCACTCTCATTTTCCTTCTAGAGGAAAACTCTGAATAGACCCCACTTAGCTACACTTTTCCATAGTGTACACGCTTAATATTAGAACATAGAGGATGAAAAAGTCGTCATGAAAATCCAAAACTTAATAGTGAAAGCACTCGCCAGCAGGTCGTGGTTTTACTTGAGTCTTGAACAACTTATAGCAACATTTCTATTCACGCTTTCTGGCCCTATTTATCGTTTGTCTTCAAAAGTGATCATTTAAAAGTATCATTTAAAAAAAAATGCTCTTTCAAAAGAGATACCATCTTTCTCAGAAGTGGTTGATC